TTAATACTAAATCTATAAATGTAGGCTCATAGATCTATTTCCCCATCCTCATATAATATATTTGTATATGTACATGTCTTTATCGAGAGCTCTATAAATAGGAAAGAGCTTTTTATAGAGTAATTTTACATTAAGAAAACAGCCCATCTGAGTCCAGGTCAAGTCCCTAATTCTGATATTAGCCCATATGTCTGACACCAATCTGTAAAGTCCTCTTCAGACTCACGAAACACATGCAATGACACCAAATGCAGGAAGATCACAGGCCAGTGGGTGGGAAGTCTTGTGGATCCACTAGTGGCGTAAACATCTCAGCGATGGCAGGGATCTCCACATGGATTCTCCAGCTCAGGGCATTAGGGTAGCTCCAGGTGTCTTGTCAGCTGCAATGTCTCCCAGGGAGTGAGCTGAGACAGGGAATGGCTCCTGCCTCCAAAGAGGAATACAGGAGTTTCCAGAATCCCCAGGAGAAGGTTGTGCCCACACAGAGGCTTCATTAACTATGACCTGATTGACAGGCTAGATTCCACCCCTTCACTCTTAATCCTCTCAAATTGACAAACGATTATATAACTACCACACCAACCTTTTATTTAGTAACAAAGCAAACTGTTTATGCCTCCCTTCTTCACATGGTCTGTTTACTTTTTAAAAAGCTAAAATGGCTATCAAAATCAGCAATGAGTTCTGCAGTAAATTCAACTGAATAAATGTTTGCAACTGTTTATGAAAACACCAATATCTTTGCTTAAATTTAGAAAATGTTTTTTTCTCATATGCTATCTAGTTTGTAGAAATATCTGAAATTTTTATCTATTCTGATTTTAGATTCGAGATTCTATACTTTTCAAAGGAAATAAATAGTATTAATCGAACACTTCTCTTTTCTATGACTTTTGGTAATCAAGGAATTATTTTTTGAGTCAGTGTTAAATCTGAAAGAAGGATGCAAGAAATAGACTGATGCATAATTCAAAACTAATTTGTTGTCATGGAATTTATGTTAATGCTTAACATTTAGTATGTATAGCTTATGGGACTAGCTGTTTATAACAGCATCACCTTGGATATTCGTTTCCCACCCTGCTGCTACAAGAAATTATTGAGCCCTCCTGTGGTTCCTAGTGATCAAAACACACCAGTCGGCATCTGCAGTGTTACCATTGATGATTTATGTCAAATTATGCCAGTAAGTATAAAGTCTTAGCACCTTGTCTCTCAGTGTGACGTCACCTCTCTCCAAACTACCTGATCTCTCTCCTCTTAATATTATTATTATTTTTAAATACGGTTGCCCTCTACCTCTGTACTCATCTCTTTTTTCTTCTAGCATTCAACTTTCTTATAGTCACCTCTTTAGCAACTAACAACAAATTCTTCTAACAGTATATAGCACAGGCTTTCAAAGAACTGAATCCAGGGTCTGCCACTTCTCCATTAGCTCTGTGAACTTGGGTAAATGTGGAACTTTTCTGAGTTCTGGTTTCCTTGAATGAACCATAGATTGTAATACTTATTTTTAAACTAGGAGCACTACATGAAAAGTATAAAGAGCCTAGTGTGCTAACACTGTGCTAACAGTGTCAATAGTGATGGTGGTTGTAGTGTCATATTAATAGTAATAGTACTAGTCCTAGACGAACAGGTTTCAGTGGTATGGAAATTCAGCTGCCCTACTTGGAGATGCTACTGCAAAATGGTATGGAAATTCAGCTGTCTACTTGTAGATGCTACTGCAAAATATAAAATAACAGAGTTTAGCCAAAGCTCAGAAGACTCCAGGGAACAAATGGGCTTCAATACTAATAAAAAAATACTGATTGAGTGACATTATAATCTCTAATAGGTGGTCCACTTTACTGTCCACAACAAATACTTCTAAAGGGAAAATTTTGTAGTAGATTGCAAGTGCACATACAAGAAATTTGGAAGAGAGCTAACTGGCCAATTAACTGGAAGAGATCCATATTTGTGCCCATCCAAAAAAAAATGGTGATCCAACATAATGAAAAAAAAAATTTGAACAGTACCATTAATGTCCTCCCACTTGTCTGTCAGTTTGTCATACTGCAGTGGCTTGCATGTTGCTTTGATACTGGAAGCTATATTGCCAGTTTTCCAAATACCAGCAGGGACACTCCAGGTGAGCAGGTTTCAGCAAAACTTTAATCCCAAGAACAGAGTATGAAGAAGAAATAGTCTGTCTACATTTAAGGAATTGGTCACTGAAAACCTTATGAATAGCAGTGGAACATTGTCATACATAGTTCCAGAAGATGGGCCCTTCAGGAAGCCACCCAAAATATGACTGAGGAAAAGCTGCCTTCTCAAAGTAGAATTCATCATAACGAAGTGGCTGTAGTAAAGCTTTCAAGACTCTCACTAGCTAGTGGGACTCAATTCAGAATGAGAAGAAATAGCTCCAAATACCCATCAATAATCATAACATGGAATTATGAGATAAGAGTACAAGAAAATTTGAAGTCACTAAAAAAATGAAATGGCAAGCATACAAATCAATACATTAGGCATTTGTGAATGTAAATGGACTTGGCCATCTTGAATCAAACAATCATATGGTTTATTATGCCAGGAATGACAAATTCAAGGGGAATGGCATCACATTCATTGTCCAAAGAAATTTCAAAATCTAAAAGTACAATGCTGTGTATGATCGGATAAAAGTATATGCCTACAGGAAAGTCCAGTTATTGGACAATTATTGTTCAAGTTTATGCATCAATCATAGAAACTAGTGAAGACATAGAATTCTATTAACTTCCAGACAGAATTTGACCAAAATTTAATATGCATTCATAATTATTGGTTAGAATGTAAAATTAGGAAGGAACAGTAGTTGAAAAATATGGACTAGGTAATAGAAAAGAAAACTAGAAATTAAAGCTGGAGACCGCATGATAGAAGTTGGCAACACCAATGAGTTTTTCATTGAAAATCCTTTTTTTCAGCAATGTAAATGGTAACTACACAAGTAGACTTCGCCAGATAAAATATACAGGAAGCATATTGAACGCTTCTCTAGGAGATGATGGAGAAGCTCAATATCAGCAGCTGAAGCAACAGACCATTAATTGCTCATATTTACGTTGAGGAAAATCAAAACAAATCCAAAAGAGCCAAAGGGTGACTGAATATATCCCATTTGAATTCAAGAACATTTCAAGAATAGATTTGACTCAAAAATAAGCAAATGAATAAAATTTTACATCTAAAATTTTTTAAATAATAGCTTTGACTCATTGAACATGAATGACAAAAGACTTCATAAATTGTGGGATGACATCAAGAACATCATACAAGAAGAAAGCAAAAGGTTATTAAAAGGATTTTTTTTTAAAGACCAAAATGGATGTCAGAAGAGATTCTGAAACTTGTTACTCAATGTAGAGTACCTAAAGAAAGTGGAAGAAATAAGAGAGCTGAACAGAAAATTTCAAAGGCAACTCAAGACAGGGTAAAGGATCATAATGAAATGTGCAAAGACCTGGAGTTAGCCAAAAAGGAAAAACATAATTAGCATATTCTAAGCTAAAAAATGAAAGAAAAAATTTAAGCCTAGAGTTGCAATATTGAAAGACTCTATGGAGGACTCATCAAAAGACAACAGAAAGAATATACTAATCACTGTACCAAAAATTATTAATAAACAAAAGGCCTTTTCAAGAGGTAGCATATGATCAGGAACCAAGGTAGAAGTCCAAGCTGCACTAAAGACCTTAACTAAAAACAAGGCTCCAGGAATTGACTGAATACCAATTGAAATGTTTCAAGAAGCTGATGGATCAGTGGAAGCATTTATTTATCTATGCCAAGAAATTTAGAAGACAGCTACCTGGTCAATTAACTGGAAGAGATTCATAATTATGCCCAAAAGAATGCAAAAATTACCAAATAATATTAATATCATATTGAAGTAAAATTTTTCTGAAGGTCATTCAACAATAATTGCAGCAGTACATTGGATCATAAACTATGGATATCATTAATAAGAATGGGAATTCCACAACCTTTAATTGTGATGATGTGGAACCTGTACACAAACCAAGCTTCAGTCGTTTAAACAGAACAAGGGAATACTGCTTGGCTTAAAATCAGGAAAGATGTGCTTTATCCTTTCACCATATTTATTCAACACCATACAACTTTTATATGGATTGGACGTGTTCTCAAGAAGAACCAGTCCCCATGCTGTGTAAAATAAAAGGGCAGCAAAAAGAGGAAGACTCTTGACAAGATGGGTTGACAACAATAACACTTGTAAAGACAGGACAGTATTTTCTTCTTTTGTACATAGTGGTATTATGAGGTGTAACTGACTGGACAACACCTGACAGAGGCAACAATCATTTATGTTACGTGCCAGTAAAATTTTGCTGAAGATGATTTGAAAGCAGTTGCAATAGTACAATGATGGGAAATGACCCGATATCCAATCCAGATTCAGAAGAGGATGTGGCAAGCGAGATATCGTTGTTGACCTCAGATAGATCTTGGCTGAAAACAGAACACCAGAAAGATGTTTACTTGTGTTTTGCAGACTATGCAAAGGCATTCGGTTATGGGGATCTTAATGCTGTGAAGAATGGAGATTTCAGAACACATGCATGCTCATGTATACAGTGAACCCTCGTTTATCGCGGTTAATCGGTTCTAGACCCAACCGTGATAAATGAAATTCCGCGAAGTAGGATTCCTTCTTTGTAAATAAAATATTTTCGTACTTAGAGCATAGAGGACATGAAAAAAACACCCTTTAGTCACCATTACACTCGTATTACCCAATTTATTAAACGAAAAAGGGAAAATGCAGTAAAACATTTTGGACGTTACAATTATCATTTATTATTTATTATATTATGAAGTACAACGGATGGAGCAAACGGAAGACTCATTCAAGTCAAAATGGCGTGCAACCTCCACGATTTTCTTGCCATCTTTGATCATATCCAAAAATTTTACCTTTTCCTGGATGGTGAGCATCTTCCTCTGGCGCTTATTTTTATTGTCAGAAGGCTTAGAAGAAGCAGCTTGTTTAGGAGCCATCATAGGGCTTAGATAAAATTTCTTAAAAATCGCAAACAATTACAGTACACTGTACAAAAGCAAAAATGCATCTGATAACGTAGCTCCGATACATAGCGATGCAGACAGAAGCGTGTACAGTATGAGCCAATCAGTGGCAGTAATGACAGAGCATGCGCTGTTACACAAAAACCGCGATAGAGTGAAGCCGCGGAAGTCGAAGCGCAAAGTGGCGAGGGTTCACTGTATAGGTAATCTGTATATAGACAGGCAGTTCAAATTGGAAGATGAGTGTGTGGTTCAAAATCAGATATGGTGTGCATCAAGGTTGTGTCCTTTCACAAGACGTACTAATTCTATATTTTGAGCAAATAATCTGAGAAGCTGGACTATATAAAAAAGAATGTGGCATCAAAGTATGCAGATGACACAGACTTGCTTACTGAAGCCAAGAGAACTTGAAGCACTTACTAATAAAAATTAAAAAGTACAGCCTTCTGTATGGATTACACCTCAACCTAAAACCAAAGTCCTCACAACTACACCAATAGACAACATCATGACAAATGGAGAAAATAGTAAACTTGTCGGGGATTTCATTTTACTTGGATCCACAATCAATGCTCATGGAAGCAGCAGGGAAGAAATCAAAGATTGCAGTGGGCAAGTCTGCTGCAGAAGACCTCTTTAAAGTGTTAAAGAGTAAAGACGTCATTTCAAGGGCTAAGGCATGCATGCTTGACCCAAGCCATAGTGTTCTCGGTTGCCTCATATCCTTGTGAGAACTGGACAATGAATAAGGACGACCAAAGAAGAACGGATGCATTTGAATTATGTTTGAAAAGAATATTAAATGGACTGTGAGAAGGGGAGGTAAATCTGTCTTGTGAGAAATACAGTTAGAATGTACTAAGTTCAGCTTAGAATACCTTCTAAGCGAGATTGTCAAGACTTTGTCTCACTTATGTTGGACCTGTTAGCAGGAGAGGTCAGTCCCTAAAGAAGGGCGTTGTGCTTAGCAAAGGAGAGGATCAGCAAACTTGAATAAAACACTCAATGATCTCTCAGTGACTTAAATGAGCTCAAACAATAACTCTGAGAATGGCACCAGACCAGAGAGTGTTCACTTCTGCTGTACAAGGAGTTGCCATGATTTGGGACCAACTCTAGGGACCTAATAAATAGTAGCAGTCATAGGACAATCAGGCCGAATTAATATCGGCCTAGAATGGCATGAAAAATTCTGATTTAAAGGAATGAAAAATGTATTATGTAAGTATATAAGATCATTATAACCATGCTTTTCTTTATCCCTTTTCCTAATGATTTGAAATAAATTTAAACTTCAATTTTAAAATAAAGTTTGGATTAAAATGCTTAGATTTAGGCTAATTTCTCTATTTTAATGTCTTTTTTCTTTCTTTTTTTAATCATTTTATTAAAGGTTCATGCAACTCATCACAATCCCTACATACATCAACTGTGCCAAGCACACTTGCACATATGTTGCCATCATTCTCAAAACTCCCGCTTTCTACTTGAGTCCTTGGTATCAGTTCCTCATTTTTCCCTCCCTCCCCGCTTCCCCCGCCCCCATGAACCCTTGATAATTTATAAATTATTATTATTTTATCATATCTTACCCCAGCCAACGTGTTTTTAATGAATAATATGAGTTATAATGTAAGAAAATATTTCTTGCAATATTCTCAACTTTTTCTTGATGAGGGAGGGCACTCTAACTGGAATAGACATACATACTCACTATCATCAAGTCACTGCCGACTCACAGTGACCCTGTAAGACAGGACAGACCGTCCTGGTGGGTTCCTAAGACTAACTCTACCAGAGTACAAGCCTGGTCTTTCTGCGTCTGCGTGGTTTCAAACTGCTGATCTTGCAGTTGGCAGTCCACCTAGTAACCACTACACCACCTCCACTCTTCACTGAAGTGTAAACGTTATATATATGAAGTGTGCACTTTTGCTTAAAAGGTGAATCATAAAACATTAGCAGATTTTTAAAAGTACAGAAATTGAAAGACTAATACAAATCTATAAATAGTAATGTAACAATAGTACATTAAGATGGTAACCACATTAGATGAAGTCTGTTAGCAACAAGTCTAGTATTTGGCTTGTTACTTAAAAATATGGCCCCTGAGTTTATACTCTGTGGTTTGGGGACTGGATAGTTTCTCCTTATATCACCTGTAATGAATTTATCCAAATCTCGGGTGGTAGAAATCATTGATAAGCATGTTAGGTCCTTGAAAATGCATTTGAAACATCTTAATTTTAAATCAGAAAGAATTTATCTGTCCTACCTCACATACTCTACCTCACAATGTATACTTTGTATAAATTAACTGTAGTAGATTTGCTTGAATGTTTTATGTAATAATATTTTATTACATTTATTTTAAAACACAGAAAATAAGTTTGTTCGTTTTAAACAGGAATTGGCCCATGGACTAAGTGAACTCTTGTCATATGAAGGCAATGTTGAAGAAGATTTCTATTCAACATTCCAGGTACTATTACAGGAAAATCACTTTCTGTTAACCATATATGTTGGGGAACAGCATCCCACAACCGAATGGGTCTAAGGGGCGGTTGTGTAATTGAGGGGTAAGTTAAAGAGACATCAGACAAGATAAAGCATGCAAGGGCTTACCTCCTTGTCATGACTTCAGGAGCCAGGTCCAAGCAGAGAGACAACATATTGTAATCTCACAAGTTTATATCATCCTGGCCAGTAGGCCGTAGTAAGTATGTAGGTAACAGGAAGGGGGTCATACAATAGGCATTCACGTAACAGGAGGGGGACAAGCTAGCAGTGTACACGAAATAGGAAGGGGAGGCACTAGGGGCACATGTGACAGGAAGGCATATACATAACAAGATGGGTGGGCTCTAGAGTCAAGATGGCAGCTAGCCTTGGTCGTCACTGAGTTAGCTTGACCCTAGGTGTCTTTGGACTCCCCTTCAGGAGAACAATCCATTATCCTTATATATGATAAGGATAATATCATATCCTTATGATATATGATACCATAGAAGGGAGTGGGCCCTACTTAGGGTGGGACAGAAAATAGGGTAGATTGCTGTAGGTGACTGACAACCTTCAAGCAGTTGACCTCCAAGTGTATAGTCAGTGACCATGTGTTTGCAAACAGCACCTTAAATTTGGCATTATTAGGGGGGATATCATGGGGAATAACTTTTCTTAGGACCATGTGAGTGGGACACATCTCCCACCCATGAGTGTGAAGGTTTCTTCAACGGTAGCCTTGGTCTTCCAGACTCCTTAATGTATGAATGTTCAGAGTTTGTCCATGTACACTCTCTTCCTGGTTTTCAGTTTCCCACACATATTTTTCTCATATTTATCGTCATCTGTTATTAAACACCCATCATTAGAAAGGATTAACAAGTATGAATCAATACATGAGATCTCATATATCAAAGGATCTTTACCTGATGAAGTATGGACAGTGAAACACACACACACATAGGTACCGAAGTACCTAAAGAAGGGGCTAAGGATACTCTGACGGGCAGCTGGCACATTCCCTTGACTCTGTTACTGTCCCAAAGCTTATCAGCTTCTAAAAGTAACCCTCAACAGAAACGAATGGGTCAAACAAACCTACAGTAGTGTTCCACATAGCTCCAAAGACCCGATAATTACCCCAATGGCTACCGGAGTTTGTGAACATTAGTACAATATTTAACTGTAATTAACACAGAGGGTCAAAATAAAGCCTTGCCTTACTAATAATTAAATACTGTTTGGCCCCATGTGCCTTTTTTAACTTCCATTCTTAATACAAGTATCATAAGAGTTTAGCTTTTGTACAGTTAGTATATTGAGAAAGGAAGAAGAAATGAAAACTGGCCTACTTAAACTTTACAAACCTGTTCGTGAAACGTGGTAGCTTATCAACTATGCCGGCAAATACACTATAATGTCCTCCCCCCCATCAGGTTTTTCAAGAAGAATTCGGAATAATTAAATCATACAATCTAAAGCCAGGAGGTGACAAAGTTCCAGTTACCAATCAAAATCGGAAAGGTAAGTTCAGCAGCACTTTTTTTTTAACTTAAAATGTATTAGTGCTCACTTGTTGCTTTCTATTTAAAATAAAATTGCTGCTTTCCAGAATATGTGCAGCTTTACACTGACTTCCTTCTCAACAAATCCATCTATAAGCAGTTTGCTGCATTTTATTATGGATTCCATAGCGTGTGTGCTTCAAATGCCCTAATGGTGAGTTGGAGATGTTAAATTACAGTTTTACTTAGATTGTATGGCACTAGAATACTTGACAAATAATTCTTTAAACGTTCTTGTAGCTAAACCTTTTAAAATAAAAGATTTTCTACATTGTTAAAATAGTCAGACATTAAAATAGTTTGTTCATTTCTCCGCTTGTGCTAGATAGACAAGTCTGTTTTCTTAATTTATGTCTTGTAGAAAAATTTCCACAAGCAAAGTGGGTGAAGAAATCTCCTGGGGCTCAGGGTCTTAATACTGAGGAATAAGCACCCAAAGCAGAATTGAATCAGTGAGCTGTCATAACTTCTTACTCATCTAGGCAACATACATATGTGCACACCTGTTGAGGGGACTTCAGAAAGTTCATGGAAAATGGAATTCAAAGATAATGGAGTTTTCCCAAGAATTCTTTGAAGCATCTTTGTACTTCTTGCTGTTTCTAGGATCCCTCAGCAACTCTGAGTTACCTTTGACCCATGGGAAATAGTTTGTCTCCATAGTCATGGCCCAGACTCAGGTTATTTGACCTCTTACACGTAGACGGGGTCAGCTGCTGTTTAGAACACCAGGTAGAGAACACTGTCAGACCTAAGCGTGGATTTCCACAGGGTTGGCGCTCTTCACTGCAACTACTCAGGGCATGCCCCACCGCGCCACTTGGGTCCATCTCCAGATTTCCTCTGAGGGCTTGGAGCAAGGTCTTTCTTTTGATTTATTTTTCATAGGAGAGAAATGGACTCTCACAGTTCCTCTGGGGCAGGAGCAAGTGTGCTTACCTCTTCCCAGCTTGCTTTAGAGTCACCTTTGCCACGTGCGTGTTGCTGAGTACCTTCGAAAGAGAAGCAGTTGGCTGAGACCTAAATGAGTCTTGTCTGTGACACACTATTAGTTGTGGGAATGGAGGAAAATAAAGGAAGAATCAAGTGGCACAGCATGGTCTCTGTGTTTAAGAATCGTAGCCTCTTTAGGTAAGAGAGTAACCTATGTAGATGAAAGAACCCAGCAAGCAGTACAAGAGAGACTAGCGTGATACCCAAACTGTGCAGTGCCCACAGAAGGTATGGGGTAGTGAAAGGAGGCAGGCCGGTCAGTAGATGGAGTAGCTGAAACAGCTTACACCTGGCTTTGGGAGAAGCGTTGTAATTTAGGATCCATGCTTAGCTGCCTATTTCTCTGGCATACTGCTAATTAGCATTCCCAGAAGGGGAACCTAGTGGTCTGACAAGGTTTTCAGACATTTTCAAAAGAAAAATATCTTGTCTCAGAAAAATACAAATGTATTAAGTGGAGAAGATTTTTTTTGTTCAATAAACAAGGTTTGATTTACTATAAGAAAAGGCACAATTTTTGATGATTTGGTTTGATGAAGGTGGTTTGTATGTAATTTTTTTAATCATCATCTTTCATGATAATTTTTGATAAATAATTGTGGCAGCTGCTTCGTCCAGAAGAGGTTGAAATTCTGGTCTGTGGAAGCCCTGAGCTGGATATGCACGCTCTGCAGAGAAGTACTCAGTACGACGGCTATGCGAGAACGGATGTAACTATAAGGTGATGGCCTCTTTACAGCTCAGGTGGTGGGGTTATAAAAGAGGAGGTGAAGATGCAGCTCCTTGGATTATGTAACTTGAAACTTTGGGATTAACGATGTTAGCTGAAATATTGTCCAGTCCTACACTTATTTTATCTCCAGAAAGTAATGTAAGAATATTAAATATGAAATCACTTAGTAATCCCTTGGCAGAAAGTGTTATAAATACATTTCCACAAAAGTATAGAAATTTGACTTTTATTTTAATGACTTCAGATTTTAAGGATTTTCGACATATAAGCATTTTAGTCATACTATGTTAAAAATACAGGACTTTAAAATCATATAGAAGAAAAAAAGTTTTTTGTACCGTCTACTATTGAAGTCTTTTTATGACTTTATATTGATGCAATTTTATAGTAGTAATTGAAAATCTAAGTCAAATATAGAGACCCATTCATAAATGTCACATTACTGATATTATATATCATTTTTAAAAAGTATTTTTCCTTAGAGCTTATTCTGATATGCAGGATTTTGTTGACAGTTTATATAAACTTCCTTTGGTATTATCTAGATACTTTTGGGATGTTGTGCTTGGATTTCCTCTTGATCTTCAAAAGAAGTTGCTACACTTTACTACAGGAAGTGACCGAGTGCCTGTAGGAGGAATGGCTGATTTGAACTTCAAAATCTCAAAGAATGAAACTTCCACTAACTGGTAAATTCCAGATTGTAATTTTATTTCACCTGTAGGCTTTTGTGAAGAGTAGTAATAATATATTAGGAACCAGGGGATTCATTTGATCTTAAGTAGAATTTATAGAAGAATCTTGGGAATAAAGTTGGCCTTGAAATGAGAGTTCTCTGTTACTAATTTTTGAGACATACCAATACTTACTAAGAAGCTTTTCATAAGTCAAATAACTGCTTCATGGTCTCTTTTAGAACCTTGCTGCTTTGTAGTAGTATATTGTCTAGCCATCATTTTTATTTGAAATATTTTTTAAATATGTAGAAATATTATTGTTTTTGCTATTATTAGTTCTTGAAGTCCTCTAGTCCTAGCCCTCTTTTAGTTTTAAACCTAATGTTCTTTGTACGTGAACATGATGATGATGAAGATGATGATGGCTTTAAGGTATTTTCTAGTACAGGGGTACTACAAAAGTATTTGCAGGTTCAGTTCCAGGCCTCTGCAATAAAGTGAAGGCCTGGTAGGGCAGGATTGAGGGTAATGTAGCCAAGAGGAATTACTGAAGCCCAAATGAAGACTGAGCATGATAGTGGGACAAGAGGAAA